AAATAAGAGATCCCCGCGGGGAGGGGGGCAATGATAACTTCCTCAATGGCTCAAGGGAGCGTTTCTTTCAAAAAGGTTTAAGAACCACTGACTACAGGAACTTGACATGGGATTCCAAATCCCACTTGGATACTGTAAGATCACACAGAGGCCCGGTCTCCTAAACTTCTTCTCTAACTGTATACCATGTTGGTTTAGGGTGAAGGAATATGTTGAGGTCCCAACCGCCCAACATCTCTACGAGAGGCAACTATGGCAAAGGACTTTTTGATCAAGAGATGGGACCTTTGCAGAGACAGCTCAGCCATGGAGAATATAATTTACTCAGGTTTGCCCCCATGTTGGAAAGCGAATTTTTGCAGGTAGTGTATGGCAGGACTGTCTTGGATGTTCAGTAAGTTTTGTCTTGTCACTGTAATTCCGATAACATTTCCTCTGTGATATCTCTAGGTATTACAGCTTTTCCTATGAATTCTGGAATGGTAGCACCCATTTCCAAGGAAATAGCTATGTTAGGGTGCAATCAGAGATGGATTGCTCGTGGCATGATCCTACTGTTTTCTGACAATCAGATAACATACAGCAGATTGTGAAGCGGTCCAACCCTGCTCTGTGCTCAAACCAGACCTTTTTTGCCCAGTGGTAGGATTATTTTTCTTTTCTTTTTTTTATTTTGAGAGCTAGGCTACAGTGATTCCTGTATGCACGAAAGGGTCGCATTTAGGGAGATCACTCCCAGCAAAGTGACCCTTTCCAGCACAATCATATGCGATCCTTTATCACTGCCTGATTGCATCCATTGTCTCTCCCATGTTGGCAACATTTTTGGAGTGGTGGTGGTGTGAAGAGTTTCCCAGCAATCACATGATGTACATAGAAATGTGTCCCATCCTGATCTCAACCTTTGGTCCTTTGGTCTATTTGGTCCAGCTGTAAGGCTTTTAATTCTGGAGGGTGGTATAGAGCAGTGGTCCCCAAATTTTTGTCTGCATGGGCCGGTTTAGCAGGGGTGTGTGTGTGGGAGCCGTGTGTGCGTAGGAGGGGGTCATGGGAGGGGCCATGTGTGTGTAGGAGGGGTTGTGCATGCATAGGGGCATGCATGCATCTGTATATGCGGAGGGGTAGGAGATTTGTCTCCATGGCCTGGTTCTGGCAAGGCCACGGACCGGGACTGAAGAGGCACGTTAAGACAGATTGCTCCCATTATAGCTGACCCTTTGCAATCATTTGCATGCTGTTGTAGCCTTCTGATTGTACCCTTTCTTTACCTTTATTAGACCCTTACAGATGTACTCATCGAGGCTTCTTAGTGCACCACATATATTAATAATCCCGCTTTCTGTAATGTCTTATGGGTATAAAATGATTGTCTCCCTCGACATACTCTGCCCTAGAAACACCTTACAGCATTTCTGTGACAGCCACATCTAGCTGGCATACAGCTTATCCCTTGGCTACAGCCTGTAATGTCAAGTAATTAACATTTCGACAGTCCTCTTGTGTTAATGATGCATTGTCACTTTGTCTGTTGTCTCTCGTATCCTCATCCAGTCACAACTCCTGCCACCATGGGGATATGTGTAAATATAGAGGACATAGTATTTCCATGTGTCGTGTCTTAAGAAGTGGATTTTGATCCACAAAAGCTTGCACTGCAATTGATCTGTGCCAAAATATTTTGCCCCTTTAATTTTATCAAGCGCTGGAATATTTAGTCATGTTTCCATGCTGCATGAGATTAGGCTCTCATGTCAACACTTGATTGACAAAGGTAATACCTTGAACTGCTTTATTTCCTATGACTATGAACAATACATGAAAACATACCTTTTTGGTAGTTTAGCAAAGCAGTGCAGCTCATACACTTTCACATATCCCAACTTACAAACACAGTAATGGGTCAGATAAGAGCCATATCCTGTGGGACTCGTAATTACCAGGCAACTCTTGGGGGACTATACCATCATTGCAGAGAGGGCAGCCTAGAGGGAGTGATTAGCTGTACAGCCACCAAGCCCTCTGAGACCCTGCACCCCTGCTGCCATTCTGCTAAAAATCATCAATTCTTCGGAGGACAATCTTCTTTATGGTCCCGCTCTCACTTCCATACATCACTACTGGAAATACCATAGCTTTGACTATGCAGACCTTTATCAGCAAGTTTTATTGTTGTTAGCCGCCTAGAGTGGTCCTCACCGACCAGATAGGTGGGGTATAAATAAAATAAAATAAATAAATAAATAAAATAAATATGTCTCTGCTTTTTACAAGCTGTCTAGGTTTGTCACCACTTTCCTCCCAAGAAGCAGGCATCTTTTAATTTCATGGCTGCTGTCATCATCTGCAGTGTTCATGGAGTCTTTCACATCCATGCACTTCCGCAGCTGAGCGTCCTTTCGGCTTTGGCCCAACCACTTCATAACTCTGGAGCTACTTGTACTTGTCCTCCGTTCATTAGCATGTTCGACGCCTTCCAACCTGAGGGGCTCATCTTCCAGTGCCATATCTTTTAGCTTTTTGTTTCTGTCCATGGAGTTTTCTTGGTAAAGATACTGGAGTGGCTTGCCAGTTCCTGCTCCAGGTGGATTGTGTTTAGTCAGAACTCTCCACTATGACCTGTCCGTCTTGGGTGTCCCTGCACAGCATAGCCCATAGCTCCTCTGAGTTACTGAAGCCCCTTCGCCACAACAAGGCAACAATCCGTGAAGGGGAGGCAACAATCCGTGAAGGGGATAGCTTCATTACCCCTCCTCAAGTCACCTAGAGTGGTCGCAACGACCAGATAGGCAGGATATAAATAGAATAAACAAACAAACAAACAACCAATTACAAGCAACTATTGTACACAACATGCCTTACATTTTATTTTTATTGTTCAATTACTATTACAAATTGGAAGCCAGAAACCTTTTCCCAACTATTGCAAAGCATCCAGCAGTCTAGTAATAGATTCTATTCTAAATTTCCACCCACTGTTTTTTTTTTAAAATCTTAAAACCAGATCCAAGCTATGGCTTAGTTAATTCTGTCTTGGTTGTTTAATACAAAATGCCAGTGGACGCTTCTTTGCCTGTACTTTGGATTGGGCAAACCTCCAAAGGTCTGGACGCCACACACTCCTTTCCCTGGATACTGGAGGGATGCTTCTGTTCCTGCACTCCCACTTCAAAAAAGTATTTTTTCTTAATTAAAAACAAAACAAAACAAAACCAAAAAAAGGCCCCTCATGCCCTCTAGTGGAGGTAAGAAGCAATTATCCTATACATCTTCTGGAGCTATTCTAGGGTTAGATGGGGACTTCTCCAAAATTGAGTTTGAGGGATGCTGGACTGGCTCCCACTTTGCCCCACCCTTGCCTTATGCCATTGGTGGTTTGTGTTTCGTGGTTCAAAAGGTCCTTATCCCAAAACTTAGGCCATTCCATCCATCATAAACTGCCTGGGCCCTACCTAGCAACATGTTGAAATCTTGGCGAAACAAACTCAGCTGTAATTTATTATATAGCAATGAAATCCATTTCCACTGGGAGAGTCACTATGCTTACTTATGGCTGCCTTTAAAGGCTCAATTTCTGAACACCATGCTTTACAACTTCATGCAGAAGAGTCACCTTCAGAATAATGGATGAAGTGGGTAGAAAAAAAAGCATTCAGCAGGGAGGGCAGTGGTTCAGTCAGTATTATCCTCAGTGTGAGTTTATGGCTATTCCAACACAGAGAGACAAGGAAAGCTTTATGTAAGTTCTCACTGTTGGTTCATCCAGCTCCGAACAATTTACCTTAGCCTCTCAAAAACTGGGAATCCGTCAGATGCACTACCTAGCAATACTGTAGCTCGGTTTCAGACAACAGCAGAGCTTGGAAAAGTTACGTACTTTTTGAAATAACAACTTATAGTATCCTCCATCCAGCATGGAAGTTGTAGTTGACAAAATTACCTTTTCCAATCTATGGACAGAAGTAATTCTTAGTCCTAGCTGGAAATACCATGGTTTGAACCTGGTTGTTTAGAGCTTGCTTACTCTACCATTGCGTTCCAGACTCTACAGCTTATGTTACTCCTTTTAAATGGAGATGCTGAGTTTGAACCTGGGACCTTCTGTATGGAAAGCACAACATATGTGGTCTGCCACTGAACTACAGCCTGTCCTCTGAAAGTACCTCTCTCCTTTGTACCATGTAGGAGAGGGTCACATTATTTAAATGAAATTCACTATTAAATAACTAGGTGGAAAATAAGCAACTAATGGTCATCATTACAGGGCCTTATCATCCTAAGTAACAATTTCAGATTTCAAAGCAAGCCTGACAAGCAAAACAAGAATAATACACATGATAGTTCTAAAAAACAGTTTCACTTTCTTGATGTCCTTCAAAAGCATACTAGCTACTGATTATGGCTATGTCCAAAAGGTGCCATTTCTTCCTTGCATTCTGAAAACACTTTAAAAAAAAACAGAGGACACAATTTATTGAAATTTGTTCAGAAGATGATGAGAATGTGGCTTCATGCAGTTTTCACTGTAAAATACTCCCCCCAAAACCAGGTACTCTCCAATTGTGTTGGACTACAACCACCATCCTCCACTGCCACATGCTGAGGAGGGATGATGGGATTCTATCCAACACCTCTGCAGGATCTCCAGTTGGGGGAAGATTGTTGTAGAAGAATCTGCTACTAATAGCTTGATATGATTTGACTGCTATGATTGGTCCTGTTTCCATGGTTGTATGTAGGCCTGGATCTATTGCACAATCAAAGCTTAACAAAAAGGGCTCTGTGACCAGTGACTTTTTAAAACTGCAACTCCCAGAACCTCAAAGACCATGCTGAGTGAGAGATTCTGGGAGCTCTAGCCCAAAAAAGTAAGTTTCCTGATCTCTGGAACTACAATCTTGCCTAGAATGGCTAACACTGAATTTGGTTTTGGGGAAACTAAAGCAGGGAAAACGTCCTCTGAGAGTGCTTAAGTAAGCCGAACGTGGCTTTGGCAAGTCAAATCCTGGGATCGATTCTGCCGTTCCTGAGTCCAGTGATTCCCAACCTTGGGTCCCCAGATGTTCTTGGAATGAAACTCCCAGAAGCCTTCACCACTAGCTGCGCTGGCGAGGATTTCTGGGAGTTGTAGTCCAAGAACATCTGGGAACCCAAGGTTGGGAATCACTGGTTTAGTTTTTAAACTTAAGCTACCAATTATGGGATGCTAGTGAGATGTATAGCAAAGGGTAACTCTTAATACAATAATATATTGTAAAAAAAAGGAATCTCTGGTCATTCTGTAGAGCAGAGGGTAGATCAGCATTCCCTCTTCACTTGACAATATTTATATTAATTATGTTAATCTATTTTCGTCTCCGTAAATAGCAATCTTGTTTGCAGGGGTGAGGGTTGGGTAGAATAGGGATGGACTTAACCCTTTGTCTCTTTGTGGGTCGGTTTAGGTCATAGAGAGCAGCCACATTAAGACAATTAATACATTATACAACAAAAAAATGAGTTTGGAGAATAAGTGTTGCACAGAGCTGTGTATTCTTGGTTCTGAAATAAGGCATGGAATCATGGGATTCAACATAGGCAATTATTTTAAAAAGATAGAAGCATCTGAAATGTAGATTTATCACAGGATTCTAAGATTTTTTTTAATCAAGAGGTTGACGAGTGCAGAAGCATTAAGACAAATGAATGAAGATGAATGGAGCACAAAAATAAATGAATGAAATCATAAAACTCTCAGAATGCAGGATATACTGTAATACTTCAGTCATGAAGCAACAAATGAAAGCTACAGATTGATACAGCTTATCATTCAAGGTAAAATAAATGGGAAAAGAAGGGCATATTTGCTGAGGAAACTTGGAGCCTGGTTTAAACGTAATGCCACATCATTGTTTAGAGCTGCCTCATTCAAAGTCAATGTGGTGCCCAGCTTCTGATAAGGGAGGAACAACAAGAGAGGTGGGGAGCCTTTGGCCCTCCTGGTGTTTTGGACTGCAGCTTTCGCAGTCTCTTGTCACTAGCCATAATGTGTGGGCCTAGTGGGAGTTGTAAGCATGTCATTCTTGGAAAGGTTCTTCAGGGAGTGGGGGGGGGAGTCAGCAAGCTGCATGGGTCACAGCTATTTGTGGCAGGTGTTTATGCAGCTCACAGTTCTTGAATTGGATTATTTCTCTTCATTAGCCCATATTTGATCCATGATCTTACACAGATACACATAAACAGAGAGACACACTAGTGAACATGTGGCCCAACCCACCTGGACATTCTCCGACTCAGAAGTCCCCACCATAGCACTGCTGCATTATTTCAATGTGTGTGAGAGACTTCTTTCCCTTTATATTTTGGGGGGTCTGCCCCTGGATTAAACTCCTCTTGGGTTCTCTGCAGATTAACAAGCGAGGAGAGGTGATTGATGTGCACAATCAAGTGGAGACGGTGACTGTTGCCATGGCCTGCACAAGCCCCAATCTTCAGCTTCCCAATGTGTTGCTTCTGGCGCGTCCCATCTTCCCTGCAGTTCCCATCTTAAAGTATAAACATTTGCGCAGCCGCCCAACTAAGAAACTTGAGCTCACCAGGTATGTCTGGCCTATACCTTTATACTAAAAAGTCTGAGTTACTATAGCACCCCCCCTCCCCATGCCTCATAATATTTAGTGCAGGATAAATTTGATTCAAATCACTGTTTAAATCATGATTTAAATTTTAAAAGTTGGATTTAAATTTTAAAAATCATTTTTAAAAATTCATTTACTTTTTATCCATTTATGGAGAGAAGAGAGTGGGAAAACTTTCTTTTCAGATTGTATCTCCCCAAACCGACAAGTTAGCCTAGCCAGCATGACTTTTCCAAAAAATTAACTTTCCTGGTGACCGTAATGGTTGCAAGATTCTGGAAGCTGTACTTTGGAAAATAACTTTTTCCAGCGTTCACATTAAGATGCCATCCCCTTGACAAGCGGGCAAGAATGATGAGGCAAGGTCTCTGTGACATCTCTGTGCTGTGAAGAGTTTCACTTGTTAAGTGTTGCCTGTTATGCGGCTCTTTCTTGACTGAAGAATCTGCCCATTAAAAAAAAGCCCATAATTTATTTATTTTTTTGCAACACTAGAATAGGGCTTTGAGGAAAAGGAGAAAACTGAGGCAGCCATCTTAAGTAGCAGCTGTGAGGTGCCCTGCAAATTCAACAAAAGGTTGGTTATTTGTGATGGTATTTGTACCATCTGAGAGAACAAGTGGTGCTTTTCCGGTTTTGTGCCTCAGGTGCCAAAACAACTTGGCTGAATTTGTGTCATGTGTGTCCGATGTTGGACATATTTAAGCCTAGGTAGATGAGCTGAAATATTGCAAATGCCCAGCATCTTTCAGAGGGAGGCCAAGGGTTGTACTCTTTGAACTTCCACACCCCTTGGAGAAGGGAGGCAAGCGTAGCAACACCGAAGGGAAGTGTAGTACCTGGGTTCCAAGGTGAGCAGTTGCCATGGACTTCTAGGCAAGTACTAGCAGGCAGTAGATCCGTAGCCATTGTCCCTCATCATAGGGTTTTGGAGATGGTGTGAGATGTTTGAGGAGGGACTTGTCATTGCCTTGCTGCCTGTGCATTTCCAGGGCAAATCTAGGGTTTCAACAGGGATCTCTTGAGTCCTAATCTGACATTCGACCTGTTGTTACCCTGCACTGGCTCTCACTGGTTACATGGACAAGCAGAGGATTCTCTTTTTAAGCAGACTGTTTATCTATTAATAGGGTGCCTATTAATCTCTACATTGAGCACAGGTGTGCTCATTAGAGGAAGCAGTCTGTAATACATGGAAGCCCCATGGGAAAAAAAATTTGTTAATCATTCTGGTCCCTAAACTTTATGGGTGGGCACTCTTCCTTCCCAATTATGATAAGAACAAATCTGAAAATATATGGCTTCTGCATTATAAATTCAGAATAAAGTTGAGGAGTCCATGAGAGGTTGACTTGAATTAAATATGAGTCAGAGGTAGGAAGAGTAAGAAAGTGCTTCTTCTGTATAGTATTTTAAACCTGTTATCATTTTGCAGTTGTAATGGTTGTGATTCACTTTGGGCCCCGTATGGGGAGAAAGGGGACTTACAGTATGTATGTATGTATGTATGTATGTATGTATGTATGTATGTATGTATGTATGTATGTATGTATGTATGTATGTATGTATGTATGTATAAATGAACAAACAAACAAACAAACAAACAAACAAATAAATAAATAAATAAGTAGGCAGGCAGACAGACAGACAGACAGACAGACAGACAGACAGACAGACAGACACTCCAAACAACTTCAAGCTGGGCTTAGATATTGCTTCTTCCTGACTCATTTGGATTCAACATCATCAGGTATTTGCCAATTCTGTTTAAAAGCACTGAGATCTGTGATCTTCCTTAGTGGTACATAGGTACAGCAGTGACAATGCTTGCTGATTAATAGGCAGTCAAGGTCAGCTAGAATTGGGGTGAGGGGAAGGAACTCACCTCAAGAAGGTAAGAGGGATGGCTTGTAGACAAAGAGCCTTTTCAGCAGCTGCCCCCAGACTATGGAACGCCCATCCGAGTGAGATTCGTCTGGCGCCAACGTTGATGACGTTTCGGCACCAGGTCAAAGCCTTCCTGTTCCAGAAGATTTTTAATTGAAATAATATCAACTGTAGGTCCTGATGGCAATTTTTAGAGCATTGCATTTTTATTGTATTTTAATTGTTTTATCTGTTTATTGTTTTTCTGTGCAAAACATGAAAATAAGAACAAGAGCCAATTTTGTATTTCTTGCAGATAACCCTCTCGGAGTATGCAAAATCAACTCCTCTTGAGGCTTTCTAAAATGAAAGATTGGACACATTGTTACATCGACCCTGATGGCAGGTGGACCCTGGGAGTTGTAGTAAAACAGTTTTCAAGGTTCTGGTTTTTCAGAGGAGCCCTTTTCAGACCTCACCAGGGCCTCTGTCTTGGCTGTGGAGGCTTCCCAGCCACCTTGGCACTGCCCAGCTGGTGGCATGGTTTGTGCTGGCGTGGGGACAACTCTAGCTCCTTTCCCCACCTCGTGGCAAGTGGGCCGCTCTGACTGCCGATAGTGGCAGCAAACCTCCCAGCACTGGCTAGCCTGTGGGCTGAGGATGGCCTCATGTCCTGCTTTAATCTCAGGATTAGTGTGAAACAGGCAAAAACAAGTGGTTTCATGCCTGTTTTTGGATAGCCCTCAGGGACGTGGTGGCGCTGCGGGCTAAACCACAGAAGCCTGTGCTGCAGGGTCAGAAGACCAGCAGTCGTAAGATCGAATCCACGCGACGAGTGAGCGCCCGTCGCTTTGTCCCAGCTCCCGCCTACCTAGCGGTTCGAAAGCATGCAAATGCAAGTAGATCAATAGGGACCACCTTGGTGGGAAGGTAACAGCGTTCCGTGTCTAAGTCGCACTGGCCATGTGACCACGGAAGATTGTCTTTGGACTAAAACACTGGCTCTATGGCTTGGAAACGGGGATGAGCACCGCCCCTAGAGTCGAACACGACTGGACAAAAATTGTCAAGGGGAACCTTTACCTTTACCAGTAAATAACTTACTGTGGGTTGTCTAAAACATGTCGTTTCTACCTTCACGTTTCAGACAATTTACTATGGGTAGTCTCAAAGCTGTAGTTCCTACCTAGATCTTTAAGAGCTGCTTATTTAATGACCTGGAGGCTATGCCTGGATTTTATGAGGAGTGGAGCCCAAGCAACAAACAATAATAGCATACAGTAGCCTGTATCCTATTGGTGTTTATATAAAGTTTATGTAAGGCACGGCAAATAATTACAGCTAATTGACAGGGTGGCAGGGTATGTCTAATTGTCATGCCTGGCCATGCTCCTGATTGTGCAACCACATGAGTTATTCCAATATTACACAGACTCCAGTAGGTTTCTGCCAGTTATAAAACAAAATCTTATTTAAATTTAAAATATAATGTAAATAAACAACTAGAACAAAAGAAGAGAAATAGCACCCAGTCAGTTAAATCCCACTTTGGCCAACACCAAAAATCAAATAAAACGTCTGTGCCCTCCAGAAGAAATTCAACAGAGAGGAAGCCACGTTAGCCTTCCTAGACAGGGATTTTTCAGGAGGACAGAGGTGGGGAAGGTTCCTTTGGAGGGACTACAACTGCCACAATACCCCAGCCACCATGACAACCTCCAGCCCCCTTCTTCTGCCCCACAGGCTCCTCCCGTTGCATTTTGTCAAGATTTCAGTGCACAACCATGAGAAGAAGCAGCTGCGATTCAAACTGGCGAGCGGCCGCACCTTCTACTTGCAGCTCAGCCCCCAGCCTGGACTACAAGAAGATACCTTTGGATTATGGGTTAAGGTGATCAACATGTTGGGGCCCCCCTCAGTCTCAACAAGTGAACTGCAAAGCAATGTCGAAGAGCCAGCGGTGCCGGCAGAGCTCCCACCCCAGAAGCCACAGGTGGGTTCCCTCCTAGGGTTGTTACGGTCACTATTCCTTATTCTTCATTTATATACCATGCTCACTGTACTCATGAGAAGAAGCAGCTGCGATTCAAACTGGCGAGCGGCCGCACCTTCTACTTGCAGCTCAGCCCCCAGCCTGGACTACAAGAAGATACCTTTGGATTATGGGTTAAGGTGATCAACATGTTGGGGCCCCCCTCAGTCTCAACAAGTGAACTGCAAAGCAATGTCGAAGAGCCAGCGGTGCCGGCAGAGCTCCCACCCCAGAAGCCACAGGTGGGTTCCCTCCTAGGGCTGTTACGGTCACTATTCCTTATTCTTCATTTATATACAGTACCATGCTCACTGTACCTGGTGCTTTGCAAAATAACCATGAGCATGTGGCTCTCCAGATAGAATGAACTGCTCCTCTCATTATCCCCCAGCAATGACTGCATTGGATAGGGATGAACTGGAATCCAACAGCCTGTGACAGAATCAGTATTCCTTAAGTAGAGGGTCCACTGTAGAATGAACTGCTCCTCTCATTAATCCCTAGCAATGACTGCATTGGATAGAGATGAAGTGGAATCCAACAGCCTGTGACAGAATCACTTGCCTCAGAAGCTGCAGCCAACATGGGCCTTTTTGAAAACTATAACCTTAGTGTCCCAAAGAGTAAATTTTCCAAATGAATCCCAAATAGTGACTGTCAGCCACCAGCACCACCCCCTCCATGATGAGAGGGTGAATCTCTGCAGAAGCGGAAGCTTTATTAATATGGGAGGAAAGGGAGAAACCAACTTGTGCCAAACTTTTACAGAATCGGGTTGGGCTTGACGCTGACCAGAAATAGGCTTGGGCAGACCCAGGCCCTGACAGGCAGCGGGTATGTAGCCATTTGCAGACAACAGACCTTCTGGACTGGTGACTGAAAAGTCCTTAGCAGAACTGAGTCCCTCCGGGCCGGGTGCAACAGAGTTCTTGTGAGGCCCAGGCTCTCCCAAGCCTGGGACCGAAGAAGTCCTTGTGGACACAGGCTCTTCTGAGCAGGTAACAGACAAGTTCAAAACCACATCCAGTTCTTGCAGTGAGCCACAAACCATAGCCCAATGGGTGAACACAGTTTCCCAAAGTTCATAGGACCAGTTCATTCAGGATGTCTCTGGAGGAAAACTGCCAGGCGCTTTGCGGGCAGGAGGCACACTGCCCTTCTGCGGCCACAGACCCTCGTCCTTGGGACCTGACAGAAGGAATGTTCATACACCCCCCTCTTGGGTAGTAGGATCAGAAACCAGACAGAAACTGCTTTGTGAGATAGCTGGGCACAGGATGTGAAGACGGAGATCAGGCTGAATCTGGTAGCTGGAGAAGCAGGGCTCATGATTTATTTGATTTATTTGATTTATTTGATTTATTTGATTTATTTGATTTATTTGATTTATTTGATTTATTTGATTTATTTGATTTATTTGATTTATTTGATTTATTTGATTTATTTGATTTATTTGATTTATTTGATTTATTTGATTTATTTGATTTATTTGATTTATACCCCACCCCCCTAGACAGCGTCTACTCGGTATTGTTTCCAGCAGTGCCCGGCACCTCTCTAGCTTTCCAGATGCCTCAGCTCTTGACACCTCATCCCATCCTGTCTTAGCTTGGCAGCTTCTTCAAGCCATGCTGTCAACTCCCCTCAGGGTGGATCAGCACAGACTGCAATCTCCCGATGATCCTCCTCCTTTAAGTCTTCTGGTCCACCTTTCATCTCCAGCCCAGCCATCACCACAGCTGCTCCTATGAGGGCATCATTGGTGTTCTTCCCAGCCCCACCCCAAGACCCAGGTGTAGTGCTCAGAGAAAGTGCCCCCACAGCTCCTGACCAGGTGGTCTGCCCACGATGCCCACCAGCCACAGCCAGGGCAGGCTCACCATGATTCTTCCAAGCTCTGGACACCAGCCTGAGTGGTGGGACAGGGAGACTTGAACGTTATTAAAATCATGTATAACAAGGGATTATTTTTAGGGCTAACTGTCTTTTTTTTCCCAGAGTCCATCTGTCTCCTTGGATTTAGTGGAAACGGTGAGCATCCGGAGTCTCTACTCACCTCCTGAACTAGCTAGCCCCGAGCAGGAAGATGCCAGGAGCAGGCAGAGCATGGTCTTATCTGTGGGGAGTCTACAAGGTCCTGGATTTCTCAGTAGGCCTCCTGTCACCAGCGAAGAACGGATACCTGATTCCGACACCTACACACTAGCTGAAGGGTTTGCCGCAGGAGAAACTTTTGAGAAGTCCGTCAGTCCCAGGAGCCATGGCAGAGAAACAGATACATCAGAGAGCAGCCCTCCCCCTAGAAGGTAGGGGTCCATGGAGGGGAGCAAGGTGACCTGGATTTATATCCAATGTGGTTCTAGACCAAAACCCTCTGGTACAAAATTCAGATGGTCTCTTTTTTTAAAACATGGTATAGAGGTGGAACAGAGACATGGCTGTGAGTTTTTAATACAGAAAATCCAAATTCAAAGTTGGATAATACACAAAGTAATAATAATTGAGTTCCAAGTCAATTTTGACATATGGATGATTACCCTTTTTAGGGTTTTCTAGGTAGGGGGTACTTGGGCGTAGGGAGGGGCACAAAGTAAAAAACCGAATTGAAAGTTTTGTCAACAGTTGCTAAGGAGTCATTTTTGTTGTCAACAATTTGGGCGTAGGGAGGGGCACAAAGTAAAAAAAACAGTTGCTAAGGGATCATTTCTGTTGTCAACAATTGACCAGGGATCATTGCACAAAAAAGACCAGCTAATGACACCCATCAGTCACAGTAACAGATAATCTCCCCCTCATTATCACAACAAAAAGCACACAGATCACCCTATCTCCTCAAAAAAGACAAAAGCTGTTCCCACAGCTATAAATACTCAAACATCCAACAAACAGCAACAGAGCACGGACAGAGTTCCTACTCCGTCCTATGAAGATGCCGGCCACAGAGACTGGCGAACCATCAGGAAGAACAACCTTCAGAACATAGCCCAAGAGCCCGAAAAACCCCACAACAACCATCAGATCCCAGCCATGAAAGCCTTTGAAAATACAGTTGCTAATTTGTTGATTTGTGTTCTTTTAAACACAACACCCACAAATATGAATCAATGAATTTTAGTGATTTTCCAGCCGTCATTTGAAAGGCACCCAGGCATCTAGAGACACCCACTGCCCTCAACCCCTCCTCGCTGTTCCATCAGCCCCCTACATTTTGCTGCCACTGCCACCTCCTCCTCCACTGCTGCCATCTTGAATGGAAGCCCAGCTGGCTCCCACAGGCTGGCTGCTTCTGTGCATGTGCCTGCCTCTCAGCTGAGAGGCAGGCGCATGCGCAGAGGCAGCTGAGGCCCAGAGCTGGCCTGGTTACTGCTCAGAAATAAAGCTCAGCTGGGACCCAGGCTCAACTAAGGCAGGTGGGCTATTTTTAAAGAGGCAGATTTTAAAAAACTTCACAAGAGGCAGCCCCTCAGCTGTGAGGTGGGAGCATGTGCAGAGGCATCCCAGGGTTGCCTCTCAAAAACCATTTTTATATATAGGTGTAAAATATTTTATACATTTCTCAATAGGTGTCCCCCCAGGCACCCATATATAGTGCATATCTCATGCCTCTCAGCTGAATGCACGCCCAGACACAGTCCAGGGTTCCCTCTCAATAGGTGTCCCCCTAGGCAACCATATATATATGGGTACTGTACCTGGGGGGGAATACCTAATGAGAAATGTATATATATGGGTGCCTGGAGGGGGGGGACACCTATTGAGAGGGAACACTGGACTGTGTCTGGCGTGCATCTCAGCTGAGAGGCAGGTGCATGTGCAGAGCCACCCGGCCTGCAGGAGCCAACCGGACTTTACCGGTCCTTTTACAGGGCCAACAAACTAATGAACTAAGAGAGAGAGAGAGAGAGTTACTAACAAGTATTTAAGCAAAATGTCTCAGCTTCCACCTGCTTAAATTGTTCTGGTAAATAGATAATGAGGACTAAACAGGAGTTCAAGGATTGTTTAAAATTCTATGCATGTGAAACTCAATTTATTTTATTCATTTCTGCATGTGTACACTCCTGTCACTGCAAATTGCCCCTTGCGATAACCAGCTAGAGGCAGTGGGAGAGGCTGCAAGAAAGGAGGAGTTTTGCTAGCAAAGATGTTCGTAAAAAGCTTGACTGCTTCTGTTAGTTTAAGAATGTTTTTGCTTGGCTCTGGGAGGTGGAGAGGATGGGAGGACTCTATCAGCAGGCGCAGGAGTGTGTGTGTGTGTGTGTGTGTGTGTGTGTGTGTGAGAGAGAGAGAGAGAGAGACTGAAGGGACATAAAGAAGAGGGCTAGAGGGATAAAAAAGTCAGGGGAGAAGCACCTCCCAATCAGAAGGCGCCCTAGGACACATCCCATTTATTATTTGTTACCAGCCTGTCTTATTTGGGGGGGGGGAAGAGACCCAAACACACAACCACACACAGCTGCTGCTGGCACAAACCATGTTTCAAATAATCACATGATTTTATATTGAATCCATTTGGAACAGAGCTTATTGGGGAGCAAATGTAAATGTAGATAAGCCCTCGGTCAAGGTTTTAATGGCTTTGTCTGAGGGATGCAGTTAGTCATCAAAATATGTTACACTTATAAGAGTGACTAGTTACAGTTACAGTTATAGTAATTCTAGGCCTTCCTATAACAAAGTGCCCTGGGCATTGCAACTCACAATACACAAACACAAACACCAGTTAAATCTGTGGCAGTAATCATATGGTTCACAGAGTTCATTTTTATGCTCACTTCCCAAGCACTCCCAAAAGTCTTCTTCACAAATTTTAGGTGGCAAGCAGTGACCAAGGACAGTTTCCATTTAGAGCAAGTATCGACATTAGTTGTCTCGTGTGCTCCCACAGGCTCTACAAAGATGGTGCTGGAGAAAAATCTTAAACTTGATGACAGAAGCTGTGAGAGCTGGCTTCCGTGCACGGGGGCTGAAGTGTGGGGAGGCTAGTAGCAAGTAGATCCCATGTGGGCACTTCTTTCATATGAAGAAAAGCAGCAGCCAACTGGTTTTCAAGAAGGAGGAAGTAAAGCAATTCAAAGATCATTGAACGATCAGTTAGGAAAGAGGGACCACCAGGTCCAAGCCCACTTCCCTATTTATCTGTTCCTTGCTCCCTAGTGGCTGAGGTTACTTTTCAAATGCACTGATACTTTTTATTTCCTACAATAATGATTTAAATATCCAAATCAGTCAATCACTCAACCTATAACAAGTTTGAGAAATGTACCATGATCCTGGTGTGGAATATAAGATATGATCTGACAGATGTTGTTCTTGTTTCAGGGAAGCCACTAAGAGCAGAAGTGCTAGTCGATCTGGCAGGAGGAAGTCTTCTCCAAGAGGTAAGGATGCTAAATGGCACCCCATAAAAGAAGTTACTGTCTCTGAGTTGCTCGTCACTGAACTCTGTATTCCAGTCAGCATCTCTGTCCCAGAATCATTCACCTCCTTCAGTAATCAGCAGCTACCTTTACCCACCAATATTCCCACAAATGATCACCCTTTCACCTATTCTCCTGTTTTGGTGGGGGCTGGTGGCTCCATTGTTAGTAGGGTAGCAAATCAGCTCCAGACTTTAATTTGGATTTTATAGGAGCTATTCCTGGTGCTGCATTTTATCTTCAAAATAAACTAAGCACTTGGACTGTGCCTTTAAAGTTCAACACAAATCTAGAGCCAATTCACTGCCACGGGAACTGTCCGTCTCCACTGAGACTATCCGCCTTTCCTTTGGTCCTTCTATGACTGCTTTACTGTCATGACTTAGCTCTAAAATCTGTTTCTCAATGCCAACAGCAACATGCTGACAGAGCTTAGAAAAGTTACAGCGTTGGGTGACAGTTCCCAGAATCAAGGGATGTTCCGGGGGTTATTGTCTAAAAGGTAACCTTTCCAAGCTCAAAGATCTTCCTGGGAATTTGAAAATAGGTAGGCAGACAGAGAGACAAACTCGTAGAGCATCTAAAAATCTCTTGTCCAGCTCCACTGAGAATTCATTTGCTGGGATAGGGGAAGAGTAAGATTTTCAAATAATAATAAAAAAGAGGTGGCTTGCACTGTGCTTTATTACAATACTTCTCATTATAAGATACAAAGTACTGGGTGCAATTTCATCATTATCTTTTCTTTTCCTTAGTGATTCATTTCCCAAATGACTCATACATATCAAACCTGAATCTCTGTTCCATTATCTTCTCTGCCCGACCTACCATTTTCCCCCCTAGATGTTTGTCTTTCCCATCTGTCTGTCTCTGAAACAGCCTCCCAAAACCTAGGACACTCAAGATATGTTGGACCCCAAATCTCATCTCCCCTGGAAAGGCACAAAGTGAGGCACGTTTTTGTAGAATTCCAGTTTCCAAAATGACACTGGGAGAGCTTAGAAAAGACGTTTTCTGGAATACAGTTCCCCAAATCTCCCAGTTGACACAGAATTCTGGCTTAATGCAGAATTGCTGCAGAATTCTGGAAGCTGCAGCCTAGTAATAATAGCAACAATAAATTACAGCTTTTTCCAAGTTTTGGACATAGGCCTACAGACAATTTTTTTGCCTGAAGGACCTTGCAGTCAAAAGGTCTGCATAAAAGGAAGAGAGGAAGATAGAAACAAAGGAAGTTGTTTCACATTAAGGACTTCTGTACACAGTGTAAAAGAAGCAGGCTGGATTGGGCTAAATAGGGTTGCCAGGAGGTCCAGTGAGCCATTTGGTGTGATCCTTGCATCCAAATGGCAATGGACCTCAAGCAACCCTATTTGGTCTGCAGCCTTTGTCAGCCACTTCAGGATATTGGCAATTTGATCACTTCCTCATCTCCATAGAGGGACCAAGGAAGTGGGATTTTCTTTAAAAGGTGTATGTATTAGGGCAACAAATGTTGGCTGCACCACTTTTTAAAGACAAAAAACATCATAAAAGCCAAATTCGGCAGGCTCTTGACCAGACCTTTTAAAGACAAGCAAACAAAAGCTTCTGGGAGGAAGCTTTCAGTTTGACTTTTATTTTTTAAAAGTGGATATTTACTGCCCTGGTTACAACACATAATTTCGTTTTAAGGGAGGCCGACAAGGGTAAATGTACCCTGCTTGGGTTCTCCATGAACTTTCAGTACCTTTTGATACCATCAACCACAGTATCCTCCTGGACACGCTGCCTGAGATTGGGATCAGGGGCTGCCACTGAGCTGGCTCTGGTCCTTCCTTGAGGACCATGCTCAGAGAGCAGCTTGGGGATGATTAGTCGGCTCCCTGGACTCTCAGTTGTGGATATCGCAGGGATCATCAGTATCCCCAATGCTTTTTTAACATCTATGTTAAGCAGCTGGGATAGGTCAACAGGAGATGTGGAATAAGGGGGATGATTAGTCGGCTCCCTGGACTCTCAATTGTGGATACCGCAGGGACCATCAGTATCCCCAATGCTATTTAACATCTATGTTAAGCAGCTGGGATAAGTCAACAGGAGATGTGGAACAAGGTGACATCAGTATGCTGATGACACACAACTCTCTCCTTTATCACTTCTGCAGTGGATGCTGTCCAGACACTTCAGAGATGTCTGGCTTCGGTACTGGAATGGACCAGGGCCAACAAGCTTAAACTGAACCCAGAAAAGACTGAGATTTTGTTCCTGGAGGGCCCCTCTGATAGGTTGTGGGGGGGGGAATTATCCCTAGACTGGATGGCATTGCTCTCCCATTTAGGGACCAGGTTTGCAATCTGTGTGTTCTTTGGGACCCAGCTCTTTCTTGGGATTCCAAGATTGCAGCTGCTGTGTCCAGACTGGTCTTTAACCAACTGAAGCTCATAGCCCAACTCCGCCCCTACCTAGACAAGGGCTTCCTCAAGATGTTGGTGCAAGCACTGGCCATCTCCCGGATCGACTGTCCCCTATCTATCTGAGGACTGTTAACCAACTGAAGCTCATAGCCCAACTCCACCCCTACCAGATGTCGGTCATCTCCCGGATCGAATGTCCCCCATTTATCTGAGGACTGCTGTTTGCTGTACATTTTTATGCCAATAAAGGTTATATTGATTTTGATACTGAATACTGCAATGGTTCCCTTGAGACTGACACGGACACTACTGTACAGCGGGTCCAGAATACAGCAGCCAGACTGGTGACTGATGTGAACAAGTTTGATCACTTCATTTCTAGTTTGTCTCCACAGGTTCAAAGTTTTGATATTCATGTATAAAGTCCTCCATGGTGTGGGACCACATTACTTGTTAGAGTGTCTCTCCGCAATGTCATCTGCATGATCTACCAGATCTCCCCATGCTAGACTGTTCTGTATAACCACCCTGAGAGGGGCCTGAAAGTCTCTCTACCAGATCTCCCCATGCTAGACTGTTCCGTGTAAACACCCTGAGAGGGGCCTGAAAGTCTTCTACAAGAGGCAGGGCCTTCTCTGCAGTGGTGCCGTCCTTATGGAACCAGCTCCTGGAAGGGCTGCACCTGGCCCCCTCCCTGTTGTCATTTAGGAGGCAACTCAAAGCATTGCTTCTCAGGGAGGCCTTTCATACTGACCCTGGCTGACCGACTGTTTACCTCCTGCTATTGTTGGCAAACGGTCTCTGGCACCATTTGGCTTTTATGATGTAAGTGTTTTAATTTTACTGTTTATAGTTTGTTTCATATACCGTACATATAACTTGTTAAACCTCCCAGGGTTTAACAACACCTTACTTCTGAACTATTGGGGCAGTATATTAAACAAACAAACAAATTGTTTCTAGTATTTAAATATTGTGTTTTTAAATACATAAGCCTCCTCGGGTCCTTTTAAGGAGAAAGGTGGGGTAGAAATATTTTAAATCAATCAATCAATCAGAGGTGACAATCCTGTGATGTAATAGGTGAGTTGTGACATTAAAAGGAAGAGTGGAGAAACCCCCTCCTCTTTTTTTATCTTCTCCTTTTTAAAATATTTCCCTAACTGCCACAGCAGAATTTTAATACCATGCTAGGCTGAAGCATTGTTGTTTTAATATGCCACTTATTTTATTTAACAACAGCAAGGACAGCAACAACAAAGGAAAGGCACTGCAGCGTGCTGAATGGCAGCTGCAAGAAAAGCCAGGGAAAGGGGCTATGTCAATCCCATACCTTCCTTCTGACTTCCCAATCTTCACCCCACCATTTTTCCCACGTGCCAGTTCTGCCATTGCAAGCTTGCCCCACTGCTGCTGTCCTCCTTACTTGCAGGTAAACCAGGTAAACTAACTTGCAAGTAAACCAGGTACAATGTATTCTCAAAGGCTTTCACAGCCGGGATCTGATGGTTGTTGTAGGTTTTTTGGGCTGTTTGGCCGTTTCTGGAACACAGCCAAACAGCCTGAAAAACCTACAACAACCAAACCAGGGACACTTAGACGTGAATAAACTGGCAGTCCAAAGACTTGTGTGGGCCCTTCTCAGAGTGGAAGAAATATCTCCAATGTGAACAGAAATATCACTCAAGTGAGTGATAAAACAGATTGTGCTGAAAATAAGAACCTTTGAAGTGTGAATCAGGCTGCTCCAAATTCCCCCTTCCGGGGACCCCTCAGTTTCTCTGTCTCTCTTAGCTTATATTGCTCTCTCTGCCTCATTTTGAATCTTTCTTCTATCTGTTTGTTCCCTCATTCCAGTGTCCCTTCTTCTAAATGTACGATACTCATGGAATCTGAACTTCTTTTTCTTGGTCCTCTTATTCCTCTGCAGGGACAAGCCGGAAGCCCAGCAAGATCATCTCCCTCATCCGAGCCTGCTCCTGGGGGGGTCGGCAGAGGAGCAAGAGCCAAGAGTCCAAGACCAAAGGCAAAGGGAAGAAACGCTGAGCAAACCGAAAGGGGGTCCCAACACAGAGGAGCCTCTTTGCCACTGTGTCATAATAAAGAGACTGGTTTTAAAAAATAATTCCGTCTCACTCGGCATTTTCCATGACTACTTTTAACCCATAATTCTTAGGTAAACCCACAGTAGGATGGGGCCCTTGTGCCACTATTAAAGGTTCAGGGACCCAATTCCATTCAGTGTCATGTTTTGGTTGACCTGGCAGAAAAGGATTAGGATTGTATATCTTGAAGGCCAGTGAAACAGAGGGCTTTGAGTAAGAGCAGCTTGTTAGACAGAACGCCTCAGTGCCAGTAGGATGTGTGGGAGAAGTAGAAGGAAACAGTTTCATTCTGCTAGAGAAGCCAATTGAAATAGTTAGGGTCTGCATTACCTAATCAGGAATATCTCATCTTCTGTACTTTCTAACAGCAACATGTAGAACTTGAAAATTACCTTTAAACAGCTGTCTGCTCTTTGTTCCAGGGTCTGAGTCATCCTAACCAGATGTTGCAGCATCAGGACCAGAGGTCAAGTAATGTCTCTAGATGGAGATTTCAAAATTATTGGGCTTCCTCCTGAAGTACCAGGTTTCACCTCAAGCAACATAACAACAATTGTCTTCCCTCATTCTGTAGACAAAAGATTGTCAGTCACCAAGAACGTCCTTTGCTCCCTCTCTGGTTGATGAGGTGGATTGTAATCCGCAAAAACTCACAATGGAATAAATCTGATAGTTTTTAAGGTGCCACAAGACTTTCGTTTTTATTTTGTGTTCTTGCACATGTTGAAACAGACTAACACAGCTACCTCTCGAAAACATTTCCTCTCTTATGATTCAAAAGTACCTAAAATAATTACTTTCGGTTACATTAAAAAAAAAAACAAAGGAAGACAAGAATGTTATAAATTGCCAGTCCATGATATAAAGCACGCTGGCTGAAATACTGTTGCTCAGCATAGTAAGACACAACTAGAGTAGGCCCACAAAATCGGTGAAATTTATGGAGGACTCAGCAAATCCCCAGTGATTCAATGAGCCTACTGTACTGTAATTTCATTTTACCATGTTAAGCAACAGGATTTCAGCCACTGAAGTACTAGTGCCATAATCTAAGTTACATCATGCTTATAACCTATCAAGGGATAACATCACTCCTTTTGAGAAGTCTTTTTCAGTTGCTCCTTTTCTTAGTTATAGAAAACTAAGCAGGATCGTGTTATTTCTTATGGACACAATGACTTCAGTCTGGGATCGGGAATGAAGTGTGTTAAGATGTTCTCCCAACAACAAAAAAACACCTATCTTGTACCAAGAAAGAAAGAAAGAAAGAAAGAAAGAAAGAAAGAAAGAAGAAAGAAAG